AAAATATGGTAAAGAATTTCCCAACTCCTTTGAGTCCCTAGTGAAGAAGATCTGCAAATACCTGTTCCATGTGCTGGCCCACATCTATTCCTCACACTTCAAGGAAACTTTGGTACTGGAGCTCCATGGACACTTGAACACACTCTACACACACTTCATCCTATTCATCAGGGAGTTCAACCTGGTGGACCCTAAAGAAACCACCATCATGGATGACCTCACAGAGGTCCTCTGTACCAGCAGTGGAAGCAGCAGCAACGGGAGCGGCAACGGCAGTAGTGGCAACGGCAGTAGTGGCAGCAGCGCAGGAGCACAGAACCATGTGAAGGAGAGATGAGTCTTCCCATCAGGAGCAAAACTAATGCTAACATTTTTTTCTAAAAAAAGAAAATACTCTATATTCTCTGTGTGTATGTGTATGTATATGTGCATATGTATATATATACAGACATACACAGCCATGACAGTTTAAGCAATTATGCTGCCACCACAGGACATGTAGACATATGGGACTGTACGGAGCTTTTGTTAAATGCATCATCCTCGGCGAGAAGTTGCACCCGTTCTATTTTATCTCCTGCTCCCCATTTTCTTTCTCTTCCCTAAGAGTTGGATGATGATGAGTGCTGTTTTTTTTAGAGAAGAACCACACCCAAAGTGGTTGATAGCCTGACAGACACCAAAGAAAAAGCTATATGAATTGGAGAGCATATGAAACCTTTGTTCAGAAATAAAAATCCTATTTTTAAGGGGTCATGATCGCAAGCTTACCTCATAGGTTGAAACAGGGTTAAGGATTACAGTAACGATGCCCTCCTAACCAGCATTTGCAAACAATGGTCACAATAAGAATACTAGTCAGCATTAGCCCCAGTTATAGAGGGGGGAGGTATAATTTTTAAACATGGCTAAAGTTGTTTACAGAAGAGCAAGGGAATGTGTGCATGGCCTGCTCTTGATTTGTTAGCCATGATTGAAGATTGCAAGTATATCTGCACTAGACTTCATTGACAGGTAAAGAAATAAATTAGCATTAATGTCTGTACCTAGCTCTTGAAATCAACTGCTTGGTGAAGGAAGAACAGACAAATATCCAGCTAAGGTATCTGGCTTCTTATATCCTCCAATGGTACCATAATTTAAGATGACTGCTGGGCAGCTGACAAAGGATGTAATAAATTACAGCAAACCTGTTGTTGTTTCTGGTTATGCAGAGCAGTATACAGTAGAATACTGCAAATAGGCAAACATACTGAGAGCAGCAACCTGGAATAGAGACTTTCTACTAGCCCAGTAACTCAGGAGTTTTCAAGACAGAAGGACTACAGTAGATGAGTCAGCATGTCAGCCTAGCACTCAGAAGATATGGACCCAAATCCCCATTCAGCCATGAAGCTTACTGGGTAACCTTGGGCTAGTCACCCTCTCAAAGTAACCCACCTCCCAGAGTTATTAAAAGGACTGAAAAGGGAAGAGAGAACTGTGTATGCTGCCCTGAGCTTGGAATACAAATGGAATAGATATAACTACCACTCATTTGTTCAATGATTGCTACAGGATATCAAGCAATTGATGATAACGTGCATTCTTTAAAGTCTTAAAATAGGATACTGGTCTAAATAGTACTAAAATGAAACTGGTAGGACCCATAAATCCAGCGGGCTACAGCTGATACAGCTCCAGTAAATCCCAAGTGAATAATTATCAGCACAGAATGGGGGGAATAGATGGGGGAATGTTCTAGGTACTAAGATAAAGTAGATAGGAAAAGTAATTAAAGGAGGAGTTATCCTGTTTACAATAAATAATTAAAGAAAGCAAAAATAATACCAGTAGTATTCTTTAGAAGGTTTCTGTAAAAGATACTTCAGAATGAAGAATTTTTTTTACCAAATCCTTCCAAAAAATGGGTGGGATCCAGCCAGCCTTTTTGCACAATTTTGCCAAATTTGCCTCCTCATTATATTTCTCATTACACATTATTTTTATCCATGCATGTCCCATGATCTCCAGCACAGCGTTTTTGGGCAGCTAGAGGGAATGCCTTTTTTCACCACTGAAAAAGCTAGTTAGATCCAACTCAATATAGTCTCTTTTTCAGTACTGAGAACTTGCACAATGACAAGGTAACCAAACAGTGTGGTCGCTATAGCAAATATGGCTTTTCTATGTTACCTTGGATATTCTGAAATATGAAATATTAGGCAATCCTTTTAAAACCTGACCCCTGCATATGTTCTACTTATTAGCATTTTTATATTATCTCCTGAAGAAGTAATGGTTGGAAAAAAGTGGTACTACAAAGACAATCCCAAAAGAGAAAGCTTAACAAGAACAGCAGGAGTCTGGCTACCAAATATTTTCCTAGCATCAGCCTTTTATTGATATTTGTATTCTGAGTTGACAATTTTAGCACTATTGGGAAGATTTATTTTAGAACATGTCAGTATATCCAGATGAAAACAAATTTAAAAACAAATATTTAATTTCAGAAATTAAACAGAACAGACAAGACATCAACAATCCGTCTCTTATTCCAGTATACAGAACACTAGATAAGCATATCTGAAAAGAGGAATGCATTATGATTTTTTTCAATCAAGATATAACGAACTTCTGGGTCAGGGATCCTGAAGGAGCTGAAAACCTTTAATCTTCCAGAGATGCTTGTGTATGCCACAGCTATTGCCTCATAAGGATTCATTTGACTGGCACAGTATGGAAATGCTAATGGTGGTTAGAATTCACTATCAGCAGTGGCAGTTCAGGCTAGCACCATACTCCACCTGATATTATTACATTTAATTTATAGACTGCTCACCCCCTAAGGGCTCTGAGCGGTTTACATTTGTACAACTACTAATTACATTACCTTTTTTACTAGGGCCACACACAATGAGGGGGAAGTGACAACCTATCAGGCACCCATGGCAGGGACTTAGTTGTCGTTTCTTTTTTGCGGAGGTTCTTCCAATCCGACGACGTCTTTTGGCGCAGATCTTCTTTTTCCGGTCGCGGCGACTCCTTCCGGGCATGGGCCGACAGCGCCCGACAGCGCACCCTCCGCAGCCGGCCTCTGTCCCAATTGGCTCCAGCCTACCGAGTTGCCCCGCCGCCGTGCTTCGCTGGCCAATCTCCACTCGGGCCGCTCGACTCAACCACCACCACCGCCGCCATGTTTCGCTGCCACCACGCTCCGCCGCTAGCTGCCAACGCCATGCTCCACCACCGCCATCACAAGGGAAGGAAGGGTGCCCCCCCGCTCTAACAGCAGGTACCCATTCATCTACTTGCCCATGCGGGCTTTCGAACCGCTGGGTGGGCGGGAGCTGGGATATAGACCGGGAGCTCACCCCGGCCACGGTGGGACTCGAACAGCTGAAGCTGTTTGGTCAGATGGAATGCAGGCTTCATTTACTGCCTGTGCCACCGCTCCCAATATGGAGCGGAAGGATATGCTTATGGCTTCTTTTTTCTTTGCCACTGAACAGGTAAAGCAAAGCTTAGCTCAGGGGAGTTACGCTAAAAACAACATTTCCAAAACCATTCAGTTTTGGGGTGGGGAATGAACGATCAGATTTTCAGTGTACCAAAGATAATTCAGGACTATGGCCACAAGTAATAATATAAGAATGCAAAAACCACTTGCAACTATTTCTTCTCAATTAAGAAGTTCTTAAACAGTGCTTAAAAAAAAAGATCAATATAGTTACTAAAACCACCCAAGAATCATACAGCTGATCTACTGTAAAATTTGCTCCTAGGAAATATCACATAGTCTACTTCAACTACTCTTAAAATCAATAGCAATGTATCTATTGCTGTCTATAACAAAGACAGTACTAATGAAAATCCATGATTGTATTCAATCTCAATATCTCAAGAAGCGACAGAGCTGTGCCAAAACCTGTCCTCTGTAACCTTTGTCTCTCTCACAGATACTGTTATCTATGAAGCATGGGGTCATATCCAAGTCTACCTTGCCTTTCATTCTTCTCTGTAATTTAAATCTGTTCATGTCTAGGTTATCTTTGCAATTTTCTTTTTGATAGCCTTCTCTCTTGCTGACTTTATCCAAGATGGTTCTGCACCAGTATCAATCACTTAAGTCTTCTCCAGGTTGGCCACCATGGATTGAATTCCATAATCTGTGAATGGAAGGAATTGATCTCTACCTCTTTCCCCTTTAGCGTCCTGCATCTCCCTGAAAAGCTAAAGGGATCCAATACCAAACATATGTATTTTTCTCCTGTCCTAGTGTCAGGGTAGTAACTCTCAGACCCAAAAAGTCCTTTAATTGGCTTTATTGTAGAAAGTCAGCAAAGTTGTAAACAAGTCGAATGCTTTGACAGAACAAATAGTTCAAAGTAGGAATCTACAAGACCTCTGGTCCAGCCCTCATACATACATCAGCACTGCATAGTAAAGTGGCAGGCGCGAAAATCTCTTTTAGCGTTCAAGTTTACCAACTGGGGTCGGTGCAGGCACACTATATCTCAGAGGTGTGATGCACCAAGATCACAAAGAAGATCCTCCTCAACAGAAAATTTTACAGGCATTATTCCAACTAGAAGAAGAAGAGAAGAAGAGATTGGATTTATACCCCGCCCTTCACTTGGAGTCTCAGAGACGCTTACAGACTCCTTTCCTTTCCTTTCCTTTCCCCTCCCCACCCCACCCCACCCCCCCCCACCCCACCCCAGAACAGACACCCTGGGCGGTAGGTGGAGCTGAGAGAGCCCTTTTAAGAACTGTCCTTGAGAGAACAGCTCTGACAGAACTATGGCTTGCCCAAAGTCATCCAGCAGCTACAAGTGGAGGAGTGGGGAATGAAACCCGGTTCTCCTAGATTAGAGTTCGCGCACTGTTACATACATCACCAGTCAGACATAATATTAAAATAAATATTATGAGCTAATATTTTGAAAATAGTCTGCTTTTGCAATAAAACACAATTTTAGCTCATAATTCATTGTCAAAGAAAAATGCTGAGTACTTACTTAGACTGCTTAGTTGTCTAATAATGTTTGCCAAGGAGATATTGGTAACACATTCTAGTTCATTTTTGATGCCCCGTGGCAGTGCTGTATGACAAAGATATCTGGGGTCTATGTTTCTTTTTACCAATGGCATTTTGAAGTATCAGAACCAGCACACCTGTGAAGAGAAAGAACAGAAGAATTACAATTTGTTTCAATTATCAATATTGAAACAAGTCAATATGCTTCGTTTAATATGAATGTATTTATAATGGAAAAATACAAATTGTTTCCTTTAGACCAAGAAATAATAGTATGAGTGAAGCAAAACTTTCATCACCTGACCACTGTTACAAACAAAGTAGCTTATAATGTCACAGTTATTAAAAGGATAACATCCTAATTCTATGCTGTTTACTCAGAAGTAAGCTACATGGTGTTTAATGGAACCTGTCCTGAAATAACCATATCTAGAATTACCGCCTTAAAATACTTCAAAGTATAATCATGCCAAAAACAACAATTTTGGTACAGAATAGAAGAGTAGGTTTTTATACCCTACTTTTCTATACCTTAAGGAGTCTCAAAGTGGCTTAAAATCACTTTTCCTTTCCTCTCCCCATAACAGGCACCTTTGTGAGGTAAGCGGGGCTGAGAGAGCTCTGAGAGAACTGCAACTGGCCAAGGTCTCCCAGCAGGCTTCATATGGAGCAATGCCGAATCAAACCCGGTTCTCCAGATTAGAGTCTTCCGCCCTTAACCACTACACCAGGCTGGCTCTCTACAGAATAGTTCTAGCGCCTTAGTTTATGAGACAATAATCAGACGGAAAATACTTAGTGCTTTTGCTATGCCTAAACAATTCACTACAGCTTCCAAAGCAAATAGAATACCCATTTTACAGGCTTTTGAAAACTCTTTACAAAGACCATATACAACCCAGTCAACAGACAGGAAGCAGCAACAGAAGATGCAGTTCTTCCTCATTTCCCAGTAATATGCTATCCAAGAAGCAGCTTCTGAACCATGCTGACCCAGCTGAGCTCTGAGAAACAGCAGGAGATAGAGCTGCTAGAGGGGTGAGTGTTTTTTATTTGCTTTCAGCTGAGGTGATTTAGCTGAGGGTACTGTGGGGGGGCTGGGTTTGGGACTGTGTGGGAGAGTTGTGAGTTGTTGCAGAGTCCTGGCTGCTTGAGATAGAGTGAGAGAGGGTCATTGTTTGACTGTAATTGAGTGCCTAGGTGAATTTGAATGGTTGCTGGCCACGCCCTCTGCTGGGGGAGGCTTCTATTTAAGGCAGCACCTAGGCAAAGGGCTCTTAGCCTAGGGACTCTATTAGAAGCCCAGGAAGAGCCAGAAAGCCCGGGCCCTAGTCTCCTTGGGTTCCCAGTAAGGTAAGTAGAATTCTGCAAGGAGAATAACATAAATACAAAAGGTTTTAAAAGGAGGATTATATATAATTATTTTTAAAGCAATTATGAAGCCAGAATGCTAGCAGGGGGTTGGGGGCTATCCGGTGTTTTGCACGGAGTATCACATGTATGACTATCTGCCCACCAAACAGAAGTCTTGGGTGTGTGCCCGGTGCAAGGAGCTCCTGGTTCTCAGGGAACGAATTTGCTCCCTTGAGGCCAAGGTGGCTGACCTGGAGAAGCAGAGACAGTCAGTTAGGCGCATGGAGAAGACTCTCAGGGACTTGGTAGATATGTCCCACTCTGAATATGGCAGCCCCGCTGCTGTCAGGGAGCATGAGGGTCAAGAGGAAACAGGGCACCGTGCTGCAGATAAGGGGAATGTGCCCTCTTCAGCTGGTGAACGGGTTTCCTTTCACACCAAGGAACCATCCCTTGGCAGGGAGGGAGGGGGGCTCTTGGTAGTTGGTGATTCAATCCTTAGGCAGGTAGACAGCTGGGTGGCGAACCTGTATACTGACCGTATGGTGACTTGCCTGCCTGGTGCGAAGGTAGCAGACATTACGTGTGTTCTAGATAGGCTGGTAAATAGTGGTGCGGAGGAGCCAGTGGTCATGGTAAATGTTGGCACCAACGATGTGGGGAAATGCAGTCATGAGGTCCTGAAGGAAAAATTTAGGCTGCAAGGCAGGAAACTCAAGGCCAGAACCTCCAAGGTAGCCTTCTCAGAAGAGCTACCTGTCCCACGCACAGGGCCAGAGAGACAGGCACAGATCAGGAGTCTCAATGCGTGGATGAGACGATGGTGTAGGGGGGAAGGGTTCACGTTTGTTAGGCACTGGGATGCTTTTTGGAACAAGAGGGAGCTGTACAAAAAGACAGTCTCCACTTGCCTCGAGAAGGAAGCAGGCTGCTGGAACTTAAAATCAAAAAGGTGGCAGAGCAGTTTTTAAACTGGATATTGGGGGAAAGCCAACAGGAGATGAAAAGTCTCTGGTTTGGGACGGCTCATCTCAAAAAGATGAAGGGGTAGCTGTTACTTTTCTACAAGGAAATGGATTAGAATTGTCCACTGAGACTGTGGCAAACAATATGGACTGCCTAGCAAGGTCTCGAAGCAGCAAGAGGAAGGTTGTGGGCTTAACATGCAAGGAAAACTACAGATGTTTATATACAAATGCTAGAAGTGTTCGAGGTAAAATCGGGGAGTTGGAATGCTTGGAGCCATACCTACGAAGACATCGACTTTGGTGCTCCTGACCCCGACAGGGCCGAGGCGGCCACCCAGTCATGGATACAGACCAAGTTCTAGCTGGGGCCAGTTTCACCTGGACTCGATGGCGGAGACTTATATGCTCACACAAGGGCCACCGAGAGACAACCCATTTGACCGGGGCTTTTCTATGGGAGTGGCTTCCCCCCATTTGGGGCCCAGTTTGAACCATTGCCTGGGGCGTCGGTGACGGAGAGGAAGAAGCCCAGAAGTGGCCGTGCGTCTCCAGATGAGGGGCTGGAACTGGCCCAGAGGATGGAGGTGGTGGATCGGGAGAGAAGGCAGATGCAGCGGACTCTGGAGGAGGTCATCCAGGTGATACTGCAGCTGGTGGTCCAAACCATCCGAGAAGAGAGGGAGGCCTGACCGGTGGTCCCCGCAGGGCCACCGGTGGTCCCCGCAGGGCCGCAGGGCCCACTGCAGCAGGTGCCCCAGCCGGGGGACGTCCCACAACCAGGGCTGCCCGCGGTCCCGGCTCCAGCGCCACGTCTGGCCAGTCCAAGAGAATGGACGCCCCCACACCCAAAAGACCTCATCAAAGCCACCTTCGATGGGAACCCAGAAGAACTCTCGTACTTCATGGTCCGCGTGATGAAGTTTGTGGAGAGGTCTGGTCACCTGTTCCCCGACGACAGCAGCCATGTGGATGTGGTGGTGGCACGGCTCCGGGGACCAGTGGCGGCTTGGTATGTGGGGTTGCACAATGCCCAGGGCCCGGAATTGAAGAAGAGGAAGAAGAGATTGGATTTATACCCCGCCCTTCACTACCCAAAGGTGTCTCAGAGCGGCTTACAAATTCCTTTCCCTTCCCCTCCCCACAACAGACACCCTGTGAGTGTCAGCAAGCTGCCATGGTGTTCTGTGTTACTTGTGTGACTGTACAGTTTCTCCCTCCCCCTTCGCCTTGCTAGCCTGTATTGTATTCTGCTGTAACGCCTAAGCCAAACATCTGGAGGACGTGGTGTAGGAGTGAGCTTGAATGCTAGCTTGTTGCTTTTAGTTCCTGGGAACTGCACCTGTATTATGTCTGGAGATAGCAGTGTTCCCAGGGAATGAGCGCGCAACCGTTTCCTTTCACCCGCCAGCGGGAAAGTGACCCATTGGTTATGTACCTGGTTCAAATCCCTTTATTATGCTTGCCCTAGCTGTTTGTACCCATTCCTAACAAAGAACTTGTTTGAGTATCTTTCCAAAGCTTTGAAATAAATTTTGCTTTTCTGAAACGTGGATTTATTCTCGATGCTTGGGGATCCAACATAGGTGGGGCTGAGAGAACTCTTGACAGAAACTGCTCTTTTTCAAGAACAGCTGTGCCAGAGTTATGGCTTGCACAAGGTCATCCAGCCAGGTGCAAGTGGAGGAGTGGGGAATCAAACCCGGTTCTCCCAGATTAGAGTCCGTGCACTTAACCACTACACCAAACTGGCTCTCTTGACTAACCTGGACGCTTTTATGTGGGCGTTGCAAAGCCAATTCGAAGACCAGAACACCGGGCCCAAAGCGAGGGCGTTCCTATGAACCCTTAAACAGGGTAGGCGATTGGTGAGGGAATACTCATCGGAATTCAAGCTCCACGTGGCCAAAGTGCAATCTTGGTCGGATCCGGTGCTGGCGGAACTTTACCGAGTGGGATTGAACCCGGAGAATAGAGTGACGGTCCTGAGAGCAGTCGATCCAGTGTCCTTCCTAGCCTGGATGCAAGAGGCAGAGAGTGCGGAAACCTCCCTGCAAACCCTTCGGCTGGACATTGCGACGGCAGGGGGTCGGCAGACCCCTCAACCAACGAAAAGGAAAGCGCCACGGCCAGTGGAGTCAAATTGGGAGCAGCGAATGAGGCAGGGGCTTTGCCTGAAATGTGGGGAGCTGGGCCACTTTGCGGCTGATTGTGGCAGATTGGGGCCCGCCACGCCAGCGAAGAAGGCGACTGGGAAGCCATGATATGCCAAAGCGTTGCAAGCGGCTCCCGAGGAAGGGGAGGCGGAATCCAGCGGAGAGGATCCCAAGCCGGCGGGAAACGGATTGGTCCTACTGTAAGAGGCGTGGAGCAGCAGGGCCCGATCCCGGAGGCGACTAATGTGGTGAGCAGTTTTCCCTCCCTCTTTTTCGTGACTGTGACTTTGATTAACCCCAGCCTCGGCACACATATACGGGTGAGAGCACTAATTGACTCGGGGTGCAGGAGGGACCTTATCAACCCCTCCCTAGTTATGCGATTGGAGGCTGGGGTGGTGAAATTAAAAGACCCCCTGATATTCACCCAAATGGACGGCTCTACAATGAAAGACCCATGTGAGTACGAAATGGTGCCGATGCGGATTGGGGCTGGGGAACACTGGGAGAATAGAACCTTTGTGATCCCTTTGACTGCCAGGTTCCCCTTAGTCCTCGGGGCCCCATGGTTGCACGGACACGACCCATACATCTTTTGGAACGAAGGGAAAGTACAGTTCATTTCTCCAGAGTGCCAGA